AAACAAACGTAAGGTGAATGGGGGAAGGCAAAATGTTATGTTCCTGATGGGGATAAAGTGTCACCTGTTAGCTTCATGTGTGCACCAGCTTATTTCTTTGTTCCTGTCTAGCTTGAAACCTTTCTGCAAATGCATGACCAACTCATCCATATTATTGTTCCCTTGGCTTATGTAGACACCTCTTGTACAGTCTATAATGACTTACTGATCTTGAACGATGAAATAGGAAACATTTATGACACCTTTTGTTCGTCTCATGTTATAGTAAATTTCTTTGTAATCCTAGGCAATGCAACTAGCATGATTGAAAGAGGCTATCTGTTGAACTTGGTGCAACTTGCCACAGGCTCCTATTTCCTGGCAGTAAAAAAGACTAAAGGCTCATTCACACGAACAACTAGCACAGGGGGCGTGACCAAGTTAGTCTCAAAGCAACTGGTTGCAAAGCCACTGCTATAGATCTGTTACTCGCTGCTCGATTTTTCAGTCGTGCGACCGAAGTCTCAAAACTCTGAACCAATCACATGCTCAGAAACAAATATTATCAGTTTATTTTAGTTTAGTATACCTTGTTGTTCAACTAGCTGGCAAGTTGCCACAAACTTAGTGCAACTTAAAATGGGCTCAAAAAACACTCTCCAATTCACGCTCCACTAAAAAAACACACTCCACTAAGAAAACACTCCACACACAGCCCTCACTACCAACTGTTTATTGTGCATAACCGATCGCCACATGCAGTCGAGCCCGCTTATAACGAAGCTGAGCCTGACGCGGCATTCATTCGCTGTACCGCGAAGTTCATAGTAAATGAAACACAGCTTTTGAAAAATTTGCGGGTGAGATAACAAATTTTTTTGCCCAAAAAAGTGCATGATGCACGTGTTTGGAAGAGCAGAAGCCATAAGGGCGGTCTTGAGTTTATTTCAAACGGCAGCGTGCTCTTTGCCGGGACCTGTGGCATAAGCTGCATGAGGCACTGGCTCCAAAGTTTTGCCGTTCTCGCAATCAGATTCCTCCAAATCGCTCTTGCTGCGTACTTAATTCACAATGCCCTAATTCGTGCAGGGTTCTGCGGTGTCAGCATCATCATTGACCGTAATTAAACCATCGCAACAGATGTCCCACCCGTTCCGCCAGGTCGGAGCCGATGACGTGCTGCCACAAATTGCCACCAGAGTGGTCCTGTTCGGAAGCTTCACGCTTGGCATCAGGCCTGACGTCGATGAAGTCGGCCTCCCGAAAACAGTTTTGCACTCATGTAGCCGTCATCGCCGCCTACGAAATCTTTATCACCACAGCTGAATACCGGGCTGCCTGAAGTGGCAAGTTGGCTGCCAGGGGGTCAACAGCTATGAGCAAGCGCTCCACAATGAAGCACCTAGCGTGCGTATTACGCCCAAGTCAAGCAATCACAGTTTCAACGTTTTGTTGAGCGGCAGGAAAAAGCGTGCAAGGCCTCCCGTCCGCCATCCTGACCACACACGCACACCGAGAGTGAGCAAGACGTGCACACGCAACACATGCCAGAGTCCGTGGTACAGCTCTGGGCTCGTTTATAGTCAGAAAACAAAACTTCTGAATTCGAGTCAGCGAGGCTGGCGTCATGGAGCGGTGGAGACGGGCGAAAAAGCTGTGTTAAGAGAGGAGAGTGGATTTGCGAGAGAGGGGCAAGGAGTTGGGATAGAGTGAAGAGAGGGGAGGGTACGGCGAGAAGGCGACCTTGAAAACCAAAACACGCGGGGAGGAAGCAGGTTACAGAACACCTACCATGAACACGCGGGAAGGGGCAAGTCGGGCAGCTTGCTTGAAAGGTCCGCGAAACGCGCAACTCGTGCGTGCAAAAAATTGAAAGAGTGCTTGCGCGCACAGAGGTGCCTGGAACGGCGCGCGCGGCGGTGTTCAAAGAATCAACAGCTGTGGTAAAAGAATCGTTTTGTTGCACCGGCAGGTTTGTGTGGGTTTGCGACGGGTTTGCATTTGTCTTTTTGTCTCTTTGTCGTCGTTCTGTTCTAGCCCCAAAGACTTCGATATTTCGTGATTCGTTTCGCACAAATTCACAGCCATTTTATGCCTCCGCAGGCATGCGCAGGGCATCCTGAGCCGAGTGCGAAGTGAGCGAGAACAGGTTCTAAACACGAAAAGAATCGCTAATTATCAGAGTCGGTGGGGTAGCGTACACACGTGCAGTAGAACAATACAATAAGACAAAACGCAGATGATTTGATACAGACGATGTTGGCAAATGGTCTGGTCACTCCAGGCCGGCGACGTCAATGACAGTACCAGCGATCAAAAACAGGGGAGATGGCCGACCGGTCTTCGAAACATGGGTGGCAGTGTGAAAACACGGGCTGGGTCTGGCGATGCGGGTCGCTCAGAGTAGCGAGGGGACAAAGGACTGAGGGTGGGTAACAAAGAGCAGTTAAAGAGAGCGGCAACTAGAAGGGCGCAGAGGCAGGGTCGGCGTTTAACAATAAGAATCTATGGGCACCTCACCAATGCCTCATACGGGGTTGAAAGGGGTTTCCCGAGAAGTTGGCAGAGCGCCGACTCCGTTCGCTGAACCGATCGGCGATGCTCGGATACGTTCGTTGTAAGTGCGATTTTGTGTCATTGAAACAATGTATATTTTCATGGTTACGCCGATATTGTTCGTTTTAAGCCAAAGTTCGTTTTAAGTGGGGCCGTTATATGTGGGCTTCTAAGAAACCTTAGAAAACTTACAATAGCTCCTTGAAAAAACCCTACAAATGAAAAATGAAACATAAACTGCACAGGCTTATCTCAGTGAAACTAAGAAAACATACTCATTAAGAATGAAAAATCCTTATTGTGAAGGAGTACAGAAGGTTGACTCGCGCATTTAGTGCCATGTTTTCTGATGATGCAGGCCTCAACTATTTCTCGGGTTAGTTGCTCTATGTGACCAAATAGCACACCTGTTTGTTAAAACAGTGGAGTGCAGAGACACTAACGGCAATGTGGGACGATGGCGTACCTTTCAACGAGCTGTGGTTCTCGCGTAGACGGAGGTGGTGAAAAAGGCAAGTGCACCATGAGACATGGCATTCGTTTCGTGTCTTGTGTAAAAGAGTTGATATACGAGACGCCCTTTTTGTGCCGACACGTTTACGTGGGCCAATCTGGGTGATGTCTCAATATTCGTCTACGCGAGCACCACAGCTCATTGAAAGGTAAGCCGTCGTTCCATTTGGCATTACATTGCCGTCAGTGTGGCTGCACTCCACTGTTTGAACTAACAGCTGTGCTATTTCGTCACAAAGACCAACTAACTCGAGAAACAGTTCAGGCCTGCATCATCTGAAAACATGGCGCTAAATGCGTTAGTCAACCTTCACGATAAAAAATTTTCATTCCTAAAGACTATGTTTTCTTATTTTCACCGAGATAAGCCTACACAGTTGATGTTTCATTTTTCATTTGTAGGGTTTTTTCGGGGAGCTGTTGTAAGTTTTTCTAAGGTTTCTTTGTTCCAGTTACGCATAAGCATTTATCTCTTTATTTCCTGATTATACCTTTCTTGTTTTTGTATGATATTGGATGATACTATATCTGTAAAAGAGGGAGGCGTGGCATATCTGCAACTTGAGTTCATATATATTTATGTGTGTTTTCAAATAAACGTGGTTTGAAGTTAGCGCTCATGTTGTCTACGTCTCTTTTTTTTGTCTCCATTTTTGGCGCTAAGATTTCGAGGATATGCATCTTTACCAACCCGCCCAACTCGCCGCACTCATCAGTGATACACCTACCGAGTGAGGCTGGATCCAGCCACCGCCCTACAAAACAACAAAGAATAAAGAAAACAGGAAAATAAGCTAAAAGCATTTCAGATTCATGCTTCGAAAAAAAAAAAAAAAGTTTTTTTCAGAAACAAAACCACAGATGGCTTGCTAACATCACAGTATTTATCTTTTTTTTAGTAAAGTAGGCTTTCAATTTAGATGTGCTGGAGATTTTACACTTTTTCAGAGAACCTGCATTTCATTAAACAATGGCTCACACACACATGCTGCAGCATGCGCCCCAAGATGCGCATTTTTATCCTCTTTTTTTTTTAGTTTTTTTGTGCATGCTTTTTGAGCTGGTCATTCAGAGATTTTGTGGTATGACCGATGCACACTTTTACGATGCACACTTTTACGCAGGGTAATGAAATGGAGTGTGCTACTTGTTTAGAGCACTTGATGAAGGCCTTCTCATGTTTTTTTCTGTCAACCTCGTCTGTCATTAGCAGGGTGTGTAGCTGAGCTAGTTGGTTCACGCTTGCAGAGTAGAAAAGCGTCCAACTTAGAACAGTGATTCTGCTGCTCACCTTCTTCACTGTCTTGTTTTGTGTTCTGAGCTTCTCTGCTCTGCAAGTACAGCCTTGTTTATATGCAACATGCAGTTTGTTGTAGTGGTCAAGATAGCAAGCTTATTCTGTGCTCAGCTCACTTGGTAATGTTTTGAGTGGGAGCTACGATATGCCACCTTTAGCTTTTGCCAAAGGCTCGACGCCACCGAGTACTTATCGAAGATTTTTGTTTGTGCTCACCTGCAATACACTTTGCTTACTGGTTCTGTGGCACTTTGATGCGCATACTGGCTTCGTCAAAGAGCAAAAAGTGCATTTGGCGAGCACCTATGTGCCCTTGTGAGGGCATTTTAATCTATAATGCTGCTTGAAATATTGAATATGTGAATGTTGTTGTTTTATAACATTGTCACAATGTGCTATACTTTCGTGCAAATTTTGTTTAGCAAGATATAGGCCCATGGTGCTTTCAAATCATATGCAGCAACACAGCTTGCATACGGTCACCATGTGGTTGCCAAGAGGTAACCCCATATGGGAAAGTCATCACTGCTGTGGGAAACATTAGGTATGTGCTTGGATAGTTTTGACGGTAAATGTGCCACTGTGAACAAATGTATTGTTCATCTCCTTGTTCTTCTTGTGAGACGAGATAACCAAAAAACCATGCTCTGCCCAGGTACACGAGTGTGCATTCTCCTCTGGAGGGGGCCCTCCCAGTGAGAAGGAACTGTGGATAGAGCTTGACAACCTCTCGGAGATAACGAGGTGAGCCTTCATTTGCCGAGGTGTAGTGCTAGAGGCAATGCCAGAAGCTAGGCTTTCGCTTGAATGCACTCTAAGAACGGCACCTGAATTCACTATCACAAGCTCACATCAACTGCTCTTCAACTTTTTTCCTCCGTTTTTATTACTTTTTATGTAACTTTCTTTTGGTAAAACGATGGAAACGTAAACCTAGCTTCATGGAAGATAACTAATAACTTAAATTTGTAATTATACTTGTAAGACATAATTGTTCCTATCAAAAGAGTTCATTTTACATATCTTCTAAATGTTTGGCATTGTTTTTTAAGGATTTTTCGTGTGTTGCAGCTGTAAGCCTTGGTTAATCAAGCCTGCAAGCTATGATGTCAAAGTCACAGCAGAAGATGCATGTGTTCCTGTCCTGCTACTTCCCTTTCTCAATCTCTCCTTTACATCCCCCTCTTCTTCTTCCATTCCCACTCTTTAGCGGCTTTATGCACTAGGGAGCACTGTTTGCTGCTAATGCCGTTCGTTTTTGGTTCTAGGAACTGCAGTGGAAACTGAGCGAGTTGAGAGGTACGAACAATGACTGGCATTGTTGGCACTCTCTTTTCAGGGGACATTTAACTTTATACCTGCTCTAGCTTATGGCCCAGTCACTAGATGCAGTGGTTGTGAAAAAAGCATTAAAGTCATTGTTTTCCGCTACTATATATCTGAAATGAAGGTTGTTTTTATCGATATCGGTACCAAGTTTTTTAGTTTAGCTAGAAATCTCTGTTGCAAAATTTTTGTTCAGTATGCCTTCAAAAGTGCCACCGATTACGCGAAAGCTCTGGTAAAAAATGGCCCGTTATCGTCGGGCAACGTGCAGTCAGTATTCAAGACCATCATGGACTGAGGCCAGCTTGAATGGGAATGACATTTGAACTTCTACAAAGTGCTGGGGCCGTCAGACTCTTGCTATGAATGAGTGGCTGCAATGAGTGGCCTGCACGATACACTGCTGGCCATACACCATTTCTTTTTTTTACTATATGTACTCGTATGTGGTAAAAACACTGCACTTTTTTTTACATATTTTCTTAAACATGAGCATTGAGTGTGTGTCATGGATGTAGGCTACATGGTTACATCTTTTTTGAGGGTCACTGTTCTGGATGTGCTTGCATTAGGGGATGCATTCTTTTTTATTGCCAGCTACTTTGCCACTCTTAGACTCAAAAGCAACTGAAAGAAGCATTCTTATCTGAAGAGAGCATCTGCAAAGTAAGCGGGCATTCTTGCAAGGGAGTCTCGCTAATCAACAAATAAACAGGCACATTGTCTGCTTACATTATGTCACAAATGGCTTAAGTGTTTGCAATTTTTTTAATGATCAATTTACCTCATTTTTATCACACTGTAACCTTGTCTTACAACTTCTTATCATTTAGAAAAAAAAATTTATGAGCGTCAATGAAGCTGGAAACCTCCATGCATGCACGTTGTAAAAAAAAACTCTCTTGCACGTAAAAACAATCTGTGTAAAAGTACAGTAAGATGGAGTCAAACCTGACTGTATCAAGCTTGGTGAATTGAATTGTTTCTCATGGGAAATATGCGGCACCTGGAGGTGGTGCAGCAGTCTACTGCATAATTGTTCCTCCAGCGTCACGAGTGGCGACTGGCAGTCACTGGTATGCAAAAAATTACATCTCTCCATTAGCTACGGCCACGTTTTATGCAAGCCCGTGTGCGCAACAGCCACAGGTTTAATAAATCGGGTAGACTTCTAGAAAGTTGACAGTGCATGATTCCTTTAGGGCATCAAACGAAGAGAAATCACATACATTTGCGGAATCAATCATGTTATATTCGTGATGTAGCACAGACGGGCAACAGTGTTTCGAAAGGGCGATTTGTACAGTGGGCCAGCATAAAGCTTGAAGCATAGGCCATTATAATTTAAGCTTGCAAATATTATTCGTTGAAAAAATGATGGCATTTGTGTCTGGACTGTGTTATTCAACCCCTTGTGATGCGTGCAAGTGGAACACGTCTATTAGTAAGTGCGTGTGCTGCACTAAGTAATGCGTGGCGATTCCACGAAGTTGTCTGTGCAGTAATTCAGCTCCCTTTTTAGGCAATGCTCAGGCTGCATGAGCCATTGAGTAACTTTGCAATGTGCCAGCTTTGCGCATGATATCTCAGCTGTCACGTAGCTTAATAGAATGTCGTGGCATAGTGCAGTCCTGGCTATGGGCAACGGTGATACAGGGAGAATAAATTTCTAAATTCTCGTGATCCACAGGAAATTTTGCCTGGCATGAACAACTTCTTTCTTACTGTTGTTGTTTACGAACTGCGATACAATAGAAAAACAGCAGCAGTGTACCGGACAGAATTTCTGCACCCGTTAATTTCTTTCCGCCAAAGACTTGTGGACTGTAGACTCGAGATAACTTTGCTGACTGTCCGATTCGTTTCTTCAGAAGTGAAAAAAAAAATTATCTAGCTTGTATAGTAAGTAAATTCACAGTGAATTAGCTACATCATACAAACTTCATAAATTTGCATGTGGGATCATTTGCTTCGTGTGGCATACAACAATCTAGTGTTCCCGCCGGTTTTGAAAGTACAATCACGGCGGAAAATTAGAAAAGTTTGTTCCAGGTATGTTGTTCTTATAGTTAATAGCACACTAAGCGAAGCATCAGTCATACTGCCACGCGCATTTCTTATTTTTCACTCTTGTTTCGTTCAATTTCCGTCCATAAAACTTGTCAAGAATGCTTAGCACAAACTGCGCCTCAGTGTTTTCTGGAAGGTTCCCAAATATTGTAGATCATTCTATTAGATTGATTGCTAGATGCTAATACTCGAGATTATTCCAGAGCTTGTGCTACGACCAGTGATAAGGCTGGAATATTCGACAACACATGTATAAATGCCAACATGCTTTGCCGCTTGTCAGTTGATCGATGCCTAACGCTCTGTCCGCTGCTATTAGTGCTAGTGTCTTGCTGTAATCTGACTTTCATTTAACATGGTCACAAGTTCGGCTGAATAAACAGTTTAATCTGAACATTCAATCTGCTTCCTTCGTTCACGTCACAACCCCCGTAACTGCTATACATGGCTGTGCTCTTGGGTATTCTGCTGTGTGGAGCACGCCAATTCCTTTTGTTCAGTCCAGCAGCACGTCGCTGTTAGCTCAGTGCACTATTTTCAAACACCTGAATGCTTTTACATCGACACAAAAGAAAATCTGCAGCTACATCAAACAAAAAATAGCCAGAACGCTTTATGTGTAGAAGATTGGTCAGTGTAAAACGCCCCAAGAATGACAACTCTCCTGCATGCATTATGATAGGCGGGCACTGCCTATAATGATAGGCCCCTTCTACTTGCTGCCTCGTGTTTTCTCCTCATAATGCCGATTGGCCTGTTATGTGCAATCCCCATTTGCTTCATGAGTGTTTCTTTGTTGACGGTGCCCTGAAGTGTCATTATGTACTGTAGACTCTCAGTAAACAGAAATCTGTTCAACGAAACTACTGCTTAAACGGAACTATTGTCTCTGCAATGCTTGGTTTCAGGCTTGCCTTCTAAACCCATGTTCACCTCTCAGTAAACGAAATTCCTGTTAAATGGAACATATTTCACCAGTCTCTTCAGGTTCCGTTTACTGGGAGTCTACTGTAGCTTCACTGAGCGAAATGCACCAAGGACTGATGAAAAATAGGGCAGGACAGGAGGTGTGTAATCTTTCTACTGTTTATTTTTGCAAAAATCACTTCAAAAATATGCATGGAAATATTGAAGATAACAGAGATTATGTCACAGCAATATGTTCATTACACAAAGCCATTTCAGGCGATTGATCGCGTTCCACGTGTGTAGTCTGACTAATCTAGCTGTTGTCAATCAAGTTGAAGGCTTCCTCACTGAGGGCAACGGATGCGGAGCTTCAGGAATGTATGATTTCACATGTTCTTTTTCACCTCAAATGTGTCAGCCTCTGCATTTGATCAAAAATGGGTTCACATTTAGTGGGTCGTGGGAATCGCAGCATCTCTGTAGCGTACCTACATTTTCTTAGTCTTGTATTAATGCACTGCCCAGTCTGCCCAATGTAGAAAAATGTAAAGAAAAATAAACTTATTTCGATGATAAGGTTTCTAAAAGAAAATGATGTTAAGCTGCTGTTGATTTCCGAAAAGAAGAGGTTATTCGTGATACTACCAAAAAGTCTTTAAGACGAAAAAGCAGAAGCCATATGTAAGAACTTTAAAGAAGCTTGCAACGTAAACCACAGAAAGATCCTGGATAGAAAGAAGAAAGGTGTGCGATGGGTCAGAAAGCAGGCTTGGAAAAACTGGCCAAAGAAGTCAAAAGTGCCACCCAGTTGATTCTCGACTCTTTCTCCACGTTCGAACACACAAAGAAGGCAACCCCCTTAGAGTAATTGTACAAGACAAGACAACATGGCAATGAGCCTTAGGTTTCTTTCTGAAACCAGTTGCAGTGATTTCATTAGGTGACCCCTTGAAAATAGAAAACTTGGAAAAAGTTTTCTGGTTTCTCAGGAAAGCACCGTCATTGATAATGCCTTCCCATTGACGTGACAGATTTTTCTTATGATTTCCCACAACGAGCAGTGCTAAAGGCTACAGTGCTAGAAGAGTACTTTGATGTATTTTGAGTGGTCAAGTACCTAAACCTGTGCATACTGAATGTTAATGATTTCTTAAATTTGTAAATTTGCTCTTATGGTACTTAGAATCGCTGCTTGTCAAGTTCCAAGACTGCGTGTTCATACAAATAAATGAAACTTACATAGACTCGTGCATGGCCTCAGCACTATGCGACATTTTTTAGCTCGAGGTGACAGAACATTGCTGGAAAAAATGAGCAGTTTGGGCACTTTGAAGTGCTTTCATTAAGTGGACAATTTCCCGATTTCTTTTCTGCATGAGTGTTTCACGGAACCTGAAAATAAAAAGCTTCGAACTGTTCAGACAGGCACACCAAAGATT